AAAAATAACTGGTTTTTAGAACGGGAGCCCGGAGGAGTGGGAAGACTGCTAAATGAAGGAACCGCACCCTTCCTTCCTCCCCTGACCTCCTCCCCGCCCCCTCCTTCCATCTGCTCTTCGCAATCTGGCCTGGGGATGTGAGGCCCTGGAAGATCACACCAGCTTCCCACAGAATAGGCCCCATTTTACACCAGGTCGCTGCCTGGCAGGTGGCCACGAGGTCACCTTTGAAGAGCGGGCAAGGTGAATGACTTGCAAATAACGTGCGTGGGGAAGGGCTCTGTGGTGACTGGCGCCAGCGGTTCAGGGTCTGGAGGCTGGGTCTTTGAAGCGCGCCCTGTGGAGGCTGCAGGGATTTTCATGCTATGAAGGCACATGTCCCACAATGCCGCTGGGCCGCCACCTGATTTGTGCCTTATATTCTAGGAGCAATGCTTTTCATGGCTTTTGTATGGCTCTGAAAGGAGAGGCATCAGTCAGAGAGTGCGTCTGTATAAATTATGCATCTGTGAGTTCCTGCTCACGTGGCATGAAGAAGAGCCCTGCCTTGGTGGGGGAAGAAGAGGAAGGAGGTGGGGGAGGGGCCCAGGGAAGGCTCGGGATCCTGAGGTCTCTGAAATAAGAATTCACAGGCAGGTAGGGGGCGGGGGAAGAGCAAGAAGGCTGTCCTGAGCCCAGGCATTTTCCTTAGCCCTTCTCTGCCTCCTCTCTGCCCCCGTTCATCCTGTCTGCCTGGCTGTCCTGCCCACCCCCATCCCTGCCCCTGTCCCTGCAGCCTTTCACTATGGCTGCCTGGGCATGTCTTAGATTCTAGTGTTGGTGGGAAAAGGTGTCAGACAGCAAGGCAGGTGCTCTGGTGGGTGACAGTGCTTAATCCCCAGGGCATGGTGATCTCATGCTGACACCCTATCTGGAAATCTGGTGGAGACTGTCATTAAAAACATGCATAAAATCAAATGAAGCTAAAAAAAATTTGCTGTGGAGAAGGAAACGAAAGGTGATGTTTGGCCACAACTCTGTCATCCCAGACATGCATCAGAAATCCTGCAACAGTGTAAGCAACAGACGATATGTCCGATATGTCACGGTAACTACCTCCAAGACTCGTATGGAATATGACAGAAAAGGGTGTGAATTATCCAAGATGAGTGATCCTCCTAGTAGGGAACCTCTGCACCTGGTACGGGGAAAGGCACCAAGATGGGTGCTGTTGCCCAAAGACAGTCATCAGAGGAGGGGACGCAGCCCACCCAAGCACCCAGATGTTCTGTCCTGTGAGATTCAAAGAACTTTGTATCCTGAACCACAAACTCGCTTTTATTAACGTCCAAGAAGTCATGGTGAACCTTGGATATGACAATGCTAGCTCTGCTCCTGTGTTACAAAGGGAAAAGGAAAAGGAAAAATCAAGACTTAGGCTTTGAAAAAAAAATTAGTATGGTTAGTCAAGCAGAAGACTTGAAAAGGAGCAAAGGGAAGGATTGCTTACCAGCAGAAGCAGTTTTGCTAAGAACAAACACTAAACTAATTCAATTGCTTTTGTTGATCAGTGGCTGCATCAGTAAGTGAAGGAAAGCAGAGGGTCGGGGTGGGGGGGGGTTCCCAGGAACAGACAGGATGTGTGTGCTGCACCCGGATTCAGCCAGGCCTGAGAGCCACCAGTCAGCTGGGGGGACAATACGGAGGAAGAGTTGTTTGCCTCTGACAGTAAATCCTTCTTCCGCATCCTTTGATTAATGGAGCTGTATCCCTGGACGGTAAAACTACCTGGGAGTGTGCCCCAGGCCCTCACACTTGTTTAGTCCTGCTCAGAATCTATGTCAGTGACGAGCTGACACTCCATGTTTTGGGCCTATTTCCAGGAGAGAAGGAAGCATACAGTGTCTGATGGTTTTAATGCTTACGATCATCACATGACAAACTCAGATCTCCCTCCCCCAATGCATTAAACATCTTGGTTTTCCCTGACTGCCTGGGGTCTAGGGTTTGTTCCCTTCTCCGTGTGGGGTCTGCTTATCTGGCAACTAAAAGCCCCCCTCCCGTTCCTTGTGTAGGAAATCAATCCTTGGTACCCTTCAGCTTGCCGTCTAGAGGTGTTCCATCCAACAAGACCAAGGGCTTTCCCAGATTCCCTGGAGAACCAGGTCCTGGAGGCAGCGAAGCTGAGCGGCACAGAGCTATACCCAGGCTTCAGCTGCGGTGGCAGCCCCCCTGCCCTGCCCTGCCCTGCCCACCAGTGTGGACCACCCTCTCCTCTTGGTCCTTCCCCTCTGTCAACCGCTCCTCTCTGGTCACCACACAGGTTGGCCTGTCCCCACCCCTGTCCTCCAGGATCGGCTCCATCTGCTGGCTTCTATTTTTATTTCTCAACAACTTTCCTTGGCTCTCCCAGTGGCTTGTTGAGTCACCGTGGAGGGTGCCTGTTCTAGGACTGACCTTCAGCTGGTGAGCTCTTGCTCTCCTTCAGCAGAAGAGAGAGGGCCCTTCTTTTCCTTCTTGCTAAAGGACAGACCAGGCCTCTGTTGTCCTTTAAGAAAGCCAGCATCAGCAGCCAGGCCAGGCTGAATTTTCTGGTTTATATACACATTCTGAGATATACATATATATCTATAGATCTACAGATATATGTGTATATCTCAGAGAGAGAGAGAGAGAGAGAGAGAGACACTAAGTGCTAGGTGTTAATGACATTACTGTTATTGTTAATATTGCCACTACTCTTGCTATTAATAGCAATTTATCTTCTTGAGAGTGAGAAGGTATGGTGCTCATCCACAACCATACACCAAATGCAGTCATGATGAATGTGTGGTTATTCTTCTAATGTTACATGAAAGAACACTTCTTTCTTACTGTGACAACATATTTAGTTACCTATTGGTGAAAATGATTAAAAATGAGAGGACACAGCTTTTTCTCTAAAACAACACTATGTGTTTCAATATGTAGTATGGTCTTAATACTTTCAAAGCTTGGACACCCTTAAAATTTTTATTAGATAACTAAAAAAAATCAAGTATAGATAGTTAATAATAGGAAAGGGGAAAAAAGAAAACAATCAAAAAAATAATATCTGGGAGACCTTGTCGGTTGTTGATGATTTAAAATTGTTCTCCAACCACGAGAGAATGGCAAGTATGTGGGAAGATGCAACTTGTAAATAGTGTAATTCAGCCATTCCTGTGTGTGTGTGTGTGTGTGTGTGTGTGTGTGTGAGTGCGTGTACCTGAAAGCATCATGTATGCTATAAATATGTAGAAATTTTCATTGGTCAGTTAAAAAAATACTTAAAAGTGGCCTCTCCATTTAGCACAGCTGAGCATTTCCTAAGCTCTATTCCCTCCCAGCTCTCTAGAACCTTCCACTATAAAAGACTGGGTTTTAAGAGTAACCTCTGGTTCTTTTGTTGTTGTTGTTGCTATTTATTTATTTATTTCTTCCAGGAACAATATAAGGGTCTCCAATTAGTTGCAGGTGCAAATATTATGCATGCAATTAATTGTCTTCAAATGGTTAATTATGGGCAGAATTGGCTAATTTGGGGTGCAATTAACTACTTGCCACTTATTCTGAGAATGCCCGTAGACAATTGTGTCTGCGATTAATTTACAAGAGCCATTACAGGGAGAACCTTGTACTATAAATCCAAGAATGGAGTGGGAGAGGTTTTTAGAAGCCTGATTTCACTCTGGGTTAATTGCATTGACTCTTCCCTTTGGCTTTTCTATGCAGGTTGACTGCAAATGGAGTTTCTTCCAGTTGCTTCCTGGGTGTGTGCAGATGTGCTGCTGATGAACGTGCAGAGAGGCCTGGAGAAGTCTGGGTGTGCTCACCCAGCACAGGGCCCTCTGTGGCTGGTCTGCAGGGCCAGGTCCAGTTCTTGCTGACTCGTTTTATCTGTCTGTTGACTTTCTTCTGTGGATTTTTGGATACAGCAGTGCACAAGAGCTTGCAGAAATGGGCTTCTCCAAATCATTCTCAAGAAGCTCAACATCTTTGTTAAACAGTGAACGTTTAAAGTAATCTTATTAGCAGTAATCAATAGACAGGTCCCACAAGAAACCACAAATATGATTTTAAAATTGATAGTTCTTTCTAAAGACCCTTTAGGGACCTAAGAACTGCGATTAAACTACCTTATTTAATCTTCCAAATAATCCTATGAATTAGGCATTCTTGTCACCCATATTTTGCTTATAAACTTGAAAAAAGTTTGGTAACTTGCCAGTCAATGGTGAAGCTGCGATCAAACCCTGTTTGCACGTCTGTCAGCCCTGGGGCTTGGTAGATCTGCTGTATGTGGACCTACGGACCAGGAAGGGCATGGGGAGCCCATGCTATCCAACTTCTTCATCTGGACAGATGGACTTCTGGTGGCGCACACAGCTCGCAGAGGCCATGCCAAGCTGAGAAACCAGATTTCCTGCTGCCCGATACAATGCTCTACCACAGTGCACTACCAAAGGGAGGCTCTTGGAGACAGTTCTGTCCATTTTCTATCTATTCTTAATAAAAAAAAGGGATTTTCTGTGGAATCTGCAACACTTGAGGGTTTGGGTGCAGGGCACCCGTTGAAGAGGCCTTCCGTTGAAGAGGCCTTCCGCTGCCCGGCCTCTGTGGACCTTGGTGGCTTCCCAGCAGGAGGCTGCAGCTGCAGCGACTGCAGGCTGCCACCAGGTCCCCAAGAGCCTGTGCTTCACATCTGGCTTCCTGAGCACTGGCAAAGGGTGAGTAGTCAAAGGTGACCAGCTTTCTCCTCTGGCCCCACCACTGGTACAAGGCCACCACAGGCACAATGACGCACACTGGCAGGTGCTGGTAGCCTGGGATGCAGGTGTAGGCCTTGTGGGGCGTCCCTGTGTTAGGGAGGGAGGAAGGAAGGAAGAGAGGGGAGGGAGAAAGGAAGGAAGGGAGAGGAGAGAGGAAAGAAGGAAGGGAGGGAGGGAGGAAGGAAGGAAGGGAGGGGAGAGAGGAAAGAAGGAAGGGAGGGAGGGAGGCAGGGGAGGGAGGAAGGGAGGAAGTGAGCTTCCACTGTCAGAGAATTAAGACAAAAAGCTTTCCCTGCGACACCAGGTGAATCACCTGCAGTCCCCTGTAGCTGAGGCCTCTCCTCCTGTCAGGACCCCTCTCTGTCCCCTAGACCTGGTGGAAGAAGGGCAAGCCTGATTGACAGGCAGCCGACCTGGAGTTCTAGGTCTGCTGCACTCTGGTGAGGCTTGCGACCTTCAAGCTGGAACACGCAGCCGGTGAAGTGCTTTACAGGTGCCCTCCTGGGGGGGCAGTGGGCTCTGAGAGATGGCCAAGCCCTTCCTGTCCCGTTCCTCGGGGACGCTGAGCTACCTTTTAGAACAGAAGGCAGAGAGGCAAAGCGGGTGGGGACAGAGCCCGTCAGTGGCCACGCCTCTGCTGTCCTACGAGCTGCTAGACCCCTCAGGGGAGAGTCCCTCCATTTACGTCAGGGGGAAGAATCCAGGAGGGACCAGCCACTGGTCAAAGCCACATGCAGTGCCACCTGGGAAGAGAGGGAAAGCAGTGGCCTCACACTGCCAGGCACGGGAGTGCAAGCTGTTGGTTTCCTGTGTGACAAGCCCCGACCCTTGGGGTGTCCAAACACAGCCTTGAGTGAGGCGGGGTTCTCACGATTTGGGGTATGACTGGTCAACCAAAGACCTTTTCCTCCTACAAATGTGATATAACTTTACTCCCTAATAGACGTGGCAGGGGGGACTTTTTTCAGTACAAAATATCTGTCAAGAACAATTTTAGAGGAGAACAAGTTTCCTTAGGGATGAGGACTTCAAAGGCCTTTGTCCACAGAGGGCCAACACCACAGCTGTGGCCGAAGGGCGCGGCTGAGGACATGACAGCCAGAAGGCAGAGAGAGACTCAGCTGGCTCTCCAGGGACAAATGATACCCCAAATGCTGGCCCCCAGGGAACCACCTTCTCTAGCCACACCCCACGGGCCTAGAGTCACCAGCCAAGTTAATCCGTTCAAGTGGATTTATGCACTGCTTGGGTTGATCCTCTCGTAACCCAGCGCTTCCTCCTCCAAACTTTCTTGCCTTGTCTTACACTTGAGCTTTCGGGGGACCCCTCACATCTGAACTATAGCAGGAACATCTTCCGTTTATGTCACAGATGTTGACTGATCCTTCAACAAACACTTGGGAATAATGATCCAGGGCCAGGGGAGTTGATCAGCAGAACCCTGGGCGTCTAAGAACTGCTGTGACCCTCCCAGCCCAACATAACTGACCTGCTCAGAATCCAGGGAGTGGACCTGCAGCTGACCTCTTCTTCCTTTCTCAGGATGTGACCACACTCTCCAGTGTCTGACTGCTGATTCTCACTGCCAATGGTGTGAGGGTGTGGGATGCTCTGCCACAGTCTGCAAACTCTCAGTCACGGCACTGCCACGACAGTGACTTCTGGCTTTGAACCTGAAGGCCTCCACCAGACCAGCTCCTCCTGGGCCAGCCTTGCCACCCCACGGATTGACAGATACTTGTCTCCATGCAAGTGTGAATCCCACAGTATGCGTCCATCGCAGCTTCGACATGGGTCATTCCTGGGTGTGGGAGATATAAAAGATGCCAGAAGGCGAAGAAATCGGTTTTTAAAAAGAAACAAGAAAAAAAATATTGATTCCTAGAAGAAAAGACTTGTCAAGGCAATTTCTTGCAAGAGCAAACCCTTCATTAGAAATCAAGTTAGAGCTAATTTTGAAGGAGCGGATAGATGTCTCCTGGCATTTCCTATTGTCGCATCATATATGGCACCTATAGATAAGAGTGATTGTTTTCAGTCCCATTTGTATTAAAAGAAAGCTAACCAACTGAAGAAAATCAAATGTAATTAGTTTTACCTAAATTATAGGTTTTCAGAGCAATTAATAAAACTGAATGTTGAAAGCTGCTTGTTAAGCAAATCAAAGATCAAGGAATATATTTTCTTTATTAAATGTCACTCCTATGTAAACCAACCTACACAAATCATTTTGAAATACAGCACATGCGAAACTGGAGTATTTCGCTGCAGTACTACTTAGGCAATCCACAGACTGTCTCGATGGCCAACCACAACGTGAAGTCACTACTCCGTGTCCACTTCTGACCGCTGAACAGGTAGGAGGCACAGCGGCCGACTCTGGGCCGCTGGAATCAGGCCAAGCTGGCTGAGCGTCCACTCAGCTTTTCCCCATCCCCACGGACAGGAACAAATGCTTCACCACTCGAGCCTGGCTCTCGCTGTCCATAAAACTGGTCTTGATTTGGACCCATGGAGCAGGAGGAACTCCTGTGACGTCCCATGTAGGGCATTTAGTGCACTGCTATTCCCAGGGCCTAAGCCCAGTAGATGCTGGGGACCATCACTCCATTTATGCCATTTGGGTTGGGCTGATAGGATCAAGTGGAAATAACAGGGTTGGTGGACTCATGCCACCCTGGGCCTGGGCAGTTGGTGCCCTGTGCTCATGCGGTTCCCCCAAAGGTCGGATGGCTGCTGTGGCATAAATGTAGCTTCAGGATTATTTGGGTCCCTTCTTAGAGAACAATTACAGTCACACTACATTTTTGAGAGCTTGTATGTCTTTCTGCTACACTGTGAATATGAATCTGTGCACATAGCCTTGGGAGCAGGAAGGAAGCAACCCTAAGCCCCTTGTCTGGCTCGAGTCATGGTTTTGTCTATAAAATGGTGGCAGAAGGCTTGACCTTTAGTAATGAGAAACTCTGTAGAGAAGGGTCCTTGGAGTAGAGGCTCTCTACCCAGTACGTCTCGCTGGGGCCCTCAAAGAACTTCACAGAAATATTTCTACCACCAAGAATTCATGTGATTTGAATTTCCACCATGGCTTTCCGGAATGTTCTCTTTGCATCACCGTAAGACCAGGGGATACATAAAAATGCTAAGGCAACATCCTTAGCAACATCCACAATTCCTTTCCCTTGTGCATTTATTTTCCTCAACCATTGGGAGCATCTAACTATATTCTACCAAAGTTCCATCATTGCAAGGAAAACAGTGTGACTATGCCCCATGAGCAGAGAAAAGCCTGAGACACACAGCCTTCTCCATCGGAAGCATGGGTCAAGACGAAAACGTCCCACTTTCTCCACAATGTGAGTTTCCGTAGCAATTACTATAAAGACCACTTGAGCATCTCTTTCATAATAACTGTATAGACCCCCAGGACTGTTTCCCACTGTATTTTTATAGGCAGCAAAGACTCCAGGAAACACAGAGATTTAATCTGCACCATTTGTTTCCTGAGGTTCCGATGGGTTTCCAGGATCCCTCTGATCCAGGGGCCCAGAGATAGAATTACTGGTGAGCCTCTGTTGGGAAACCAGACACCTCCAGGCGAATGGAGGAGTTAGGGTTGACACCCTTGTTGGACAGGACAAGGACAGCTCTCCAGAGAGGAGCAGAGTTTCCTTGGAATCTCCCAAAGGAGAAGGAACACATCTTATTTGAAGTAGGAGACATACAGCCATGTAATGCTGGCTTTCTTCCAAATCAGATGCCAGACCAGGCAGATAGAATGGGACGTGTCTGTCCTGTAGAGAGTCTGGTCCCTCTAGGGCCTTGAGTTTTCTGTGAGTCCACCTGAAAAAAGAGGGAGGTGACTTCTTCATCAGACCTTTGGGGGCACTGCACAAATACAGGGCACCAACTGCCCAGGCCCAGGGTGGCATGAGTCCACCATCCCTGTGTCCTTCACTTGGAGTGTGGAGGAAGAGCTGCTCAGGTCAGAACGGTGGTCTACAGAGCCTAAATCAGGAGTTCTAGTTTTAAAAAGAAATAAACAAAAATAAGCATACAACCCCCCAAGCATGAAACCCCCAGATAAACTTGCAAACCTTAGTATTCACCTAAAGGACGGGATGTTAACAAGATGTTAAACAGCACACAGAACAGCACACAGATGAAGGAAGAGACCAGAAATAAGGAGCATATGGATGAAAATTTGCTTAAAATACACATGGGCTTAGAGAAAAAAGGAGAAAGAAAAACCTTTCTGGCCAAAAAAAAAAAAAAAAATGTGCCTTGGGATTGTGCCAAGTTTAAAAACATTTGAAGCAATAATCTGAGTTTAGAAAAAGTACAGAAAGATTCCTCTCACCCTCCTGGATAAGCAAGGAAGAGAAACGTGGGCTGCAGATCAGGCGGCTCGCTGTGGACCGCGGGGATGCTGAACACGGCTGGCTTACCCCAGAGAGTGAGGCGCTTACCCTTGACACTCCTGTTGGGCCCACGTGGCGACAGGGAGGAGTCACCTCTGCCAGCGGGCTCCTGGCACTCCACCCTGAGTCACCTCTGCCAGCTGGCTCCTGGCACGCCACCCTGAGGCTTACTGCTCTCTGCGCCTTGGAAGGTTCAGCCCCGTGGACCTAGACCGTGCTCTCCGTCCGCACTGCTTCCCCATTGTGTCCCTCTCTCCATGTCTCTTCCTCTCAAACACAACTCTCCTCCCCTCCCCTTTATCCAAACGATGCCAGCCAGTCCTCCAGTCCCTGGCAGCATATTTGGAAAATCCCTTCCAGGCTTCTCCACACCGGGAGGACCCGACCCTGCTACCTGGAATGGCCAAGAGAGAGGCAGCAGGCTGGGATCCTGGCTTTTGTCACTTTTATTGATGAGTAATTTTTTCGTAAGTGAAGAATTTAAATTCACTAATACCTGCCTTTTCATCTAAATAATGGGAAAAGCAGTGTTTATTTCTGAGAGTGACTGTCCATCAGGTGACATAAAATACCTAGTAAAGGTCTGGGAACAAGGGTCTACTCTAGCTCTTGCTCCTTCCCTGCTAGACTTCTTATTACTTCAACTGAGCTGTGTGGGAGGCCTCTGGAGCTCCAAGCCTCTTCTCTGCACTTGTTTTAGTTCGCAGCAATGTTAAAAGGATGCCCTAAAGGCAAGGTGAGCCTAGTAGCTATAGCATGAATATTCATTAGTATCGCTTTTATGGTACAGTAACTATTATAGGAGCACTTCAATATTCTTCAATTACCTCCCTTTAAAAAAAATAAATAAGACTTATAAAAGTACAAGTTTGTTTCATTAGTTGGTAGTCCAACTGCTCAAAAATTCTTATGTGCAATGTACTGTATATCAATTTAAAATTTTGTTTCTCAGATTTTGTGGAAAAAATGTTTCCATTTGAGTAGGGCATCTCAATCAACTCAGGCTACCATAACCAGATCCTGGGGATGGGCGGTTAAACCACAGGAACATATTTCTCCCTGTTTTAACGACTGGAGTCCACGGCCGGCCACGGTGCCAGCTGCCTCCTGACTGGCACAGCAGCCTTCTCACTGTGTCCACTCGTGGGTCTTTCCTGGGCCTAGGCACTTAGATGGGGGCAAGGGTGGGGGAGATCTTTCTAGTGTCTTTTCCTTAAAGGTCACAATTCTTTTGTCTCATGAGTCTGCCCTGAAAACTTTATTTAATGCACTTCTTTAAAGGCGCTATCTCCAATATCACTCTTCTGCAGGTTAGGACTTTGCCTGGGAATCAGTGGTGGCACCAACATTCAGTCTCGGGCACAGCAGTGGCTGTCACCTGGAAGTCCTGCACATGCTCTTGATTTTGATTTCTGCAGCAAGCTCAGGTCATGATTTTTTTTTTTTTAACCTCTTGGATTAATGAGTAAAGAGAGAGCACCTTAGGAGCTGCCTCCATCCACTGCCTTGTCCAAATGCCACGTTGTGCTTTTTTAAGTAAGTCCCCAAACAGTGGCTTTGACCACTGGAGAAGATTCCTCCAAAGGAGAGAAGATTTTGAAACTACAACTCAGGTCATTGTGTTGAGCAGAACACATTGCCCCCACCCCCAGAGTCAGCAGGTGAAGTATTTTTGTAACATTTTTATATTTAATTTAAAAAGAGAAGAAAAAAAAAAAACATATAGCACTGAAAATAGGTACCTGCCTAAGTATTTGAAAGGAAATCGATCGATTTGTGTGACAAAGCAGGCCAGATCTTCAAGCCAAAGCAAAATGTTAATGACTTCACTGCTCCTACTCTGTCTCACCTTATGTGTCTGTCTCCTTCTCTCTGTTCATGTGCGTATTTGCAGAAATATGTCGAAGTCCCTTTATTTGTCTCACAACATACCCACAAACCAATGCAAAGCAACTACTGTGGTTCAGCCCGAGGCCTAGAGCTTGTCCCTGCTCTAGAAATGTAAATGTAAGTGTGGGGTAGAAATGTCACCGATGCTCATTGGGTACCAATGCCCCTGCCCTCTGCTTCCCTCACCCGCTCCCATCCATCCCTGGCCCCACTGTGTATAATCTTTTATGTTTAATATTTTACACTATTTTACACTAGTGGATTTTACACTAGTGGATCTTGATGAATTTAAGCTTGGACCTTGTATAGATTCCAGATTTCAAACGAATAACTCTTTCATTTAGTTAATAGCTGCAGCAGAGCCATAAAACTGTGAGAGTTTATGACTTGCAGGACATAACCTGCAACCACAGACAGTATAAATTATATGACGTTGCACTTTACAGCATCGGAAGCTTGGGAAGCATCTCTCTGCTGCTCTGGAGTTCAGGGGGTAGGTGTGGCATGAGATGAACTCTTGATTCTTTTTCCTGACGGCTGAAAAGCACCTTCATGCTGTGGTGTAACAATCTGTCATGGGGCCCCCAGACATCCAGCTCTTTTGTCAAATGCTGAAGCAGATGTGTCAGAAAAAATTAGAGAGGGTATTTTTGCTTATCTTGGACCTGGGTTGCTTCTCCCAATACAAATGCAAAAGCCAACTCTGTTTCTATCATAGCGTGGATAGTTATTTCAAGGAGACATTGTCCTTAGGGTTGCAGGGTGTGGGGGAGAGTATGAAATGGTGCATGACCTCCAAACAGATTTTTCTGCATTATCTGTTAGGAAGAGTCTAGATGATATCCTTCCTCAGCGACTCATGTGGCTTCTAAATCCTGCTTCGTGTCCGCTCTTAAGGTTACAGCTCTGAAGGAGAAGCAGAGGGCGAGAGCCCTGATCCTGTAAATGGACCGTCTAAATAAAAAATGAAGATAATAGAGCTTGGGCAATTGTTCAGGGCCAGAGGGAGAGAGAAAGGCAGCCCAGCTTTTGAAATGAGGACGGGCCACTCACTTCTCCCTGCACCTGCTGCCTGAGAAGTGCTCTGTTATTAAAGAGGCCTGGGGTCCCATCTGCATATCAAATAGTTGGTTTGTAGATGAGGCCATTCACTGGCCGCTGCGTATTGGCTGCGCAGGACTCTGTCTGTCGTTCGGCAGCAGGCCCCAGGGTCCCTCAGGCTCCTTGAGTCAGCAGCCCCTCACCCACAATGAATTCAAAATCAGGATTGATTTTCATAAATAAATCTCTGAAATATCTAATGCATGAGTAAGTTCAAAGCCAGGGTGATATATGACCATCTAGGCTTCTCATTTGTGACTTGAATCCATCAGCTGAGGTCCTGGATAGTAAAAGGGATGTTAGTCACATTCCCAGCTCCCTCTGCTATCTCTCCCTCGGATGCTGCTTTATTGCAGGAGCACCATCCAGCATTTGGCCTCGCCGAGGGGCAGCTGATTATTGCCTCCTGTGGTGAAAGGCAAATTTAAAATATGGTGCTCCCTTTCCTGAAATATGCAAATGTTCCTATTTCTGATATCTAGAATTGGGTTTGGATAATTGATCTCATCTTTCAAGGAACTTTTGTTGTTCTAGAGCTCTGTTAATGTGACTCTTGCTCTCTCTGTGAGTGAAGGTGTGTGTCTGAGTGTGCACATATGAATATTAGCAGGTGTACAACTACGTATTTCAACCAGGGACTCTTTCCAACAGAAATCTGGAAAGGAACAAAACAGAGAATCAAAGTTACCAGAGCCATTATTCTTTAATCTTTGTGTGTTGCCCAAGAGAGCGCTTATTCTACATGGCCTATTTCTTTATAAACGATATTTTCCCCTTGCTTTGGATATTGGAAAAAATATCCAAACACAATTCTCTCCTAGGTATTAGAAATTAGGAAAGGAAAATAAAATTCAGCTCAGATGAATTTCAAATAAAACATACATAAGAGCTTTGCCTCTTATCATCTACCCTTCCAGGGGGGGCATCTTCCTTTGTTATATTTTCCTGGTTCGTTATGGCTTTTCAACCCCCAACTTCTGTTTCTGATTGTGAAAATAGCTTTTCAGGGTAGGGCCAAGGCTAAGGAAAAGTTGCTAACACAGTAATAAATAATCATAAACGAAGGATGATGGTAAAAGGAAAAGGGGCTGGGGTCTGTGGTTTAAGGAGGCAAAGTATAAAAAATGTGTAGTTTATTTTTATTATCAGCTAACATTTTGTGAAATGTAAGGTAATTTCCCTTGAACTCAAAAAATCTACACAGTACAGAACATAAATTTGCAAAATTAAAAAATATTTCAATTGGGTGAGATTAATAAAGGAGGCTTCTTTGAGGACTGGATACAAATTCAGTGGTAGCCAAATAAGCCTGCTACAATACAACTAACTGAATACTGTGTTTTGTGCTTTTTGAAGATCAGCAATTTTATTAAGTAATATTGGGATCCAATTTTTCATGTCTTACCAAACTGGCATGAAATTGTTAAAAGAATAATGTTTGTATAACAGTTTCCAATTTATAATCTCTTTCAAATAGTTATTTCAAATAATTCAAATAATTCAGTTGAGCTTCTTTTTTCTTTTTCATAGGCAGACACTGAGGCTCAGGGAAGCTGTGACTTCTCAAGGTCCCTCAGTAAACACCACCAGCAGAGACTGACCTCAGGTCTCCTCTCTTCTGGTTCTGTGGGGGTTCCGGAGCCTCACATTCCCCAGCTATCCCGGGACACACCTTTGTTTGAGAAGAGTAGACTGAACACTTGGAATAAATATTCTCTTAGGATGATGCGATAGAAAGTCAAAGGTGTACATGCAGGTAGCAATGAAGATTTTTCAAAGCATCAGTTAAAAAAAATAACAGCCTATAAGGATATTAAAACACTGCGGTTTTTTGAGCCAAATTCTCAGAAGTCAGGAGAGATCAGTTTCTTGCATAAGACTGGGTGCTCAAGAGGAACTAAACGCTGACCTTGGTTAACTAGAGATATGACTCCTACATGCAAATCAAATAACAGAAACGTAGTAAGTTCGGGTTCCCAAAAAGCACAGGACGAATCAAATTTGCATTAAGATATGGCCGATCTTTGACCCTTTTACAGACCAAAAGCCCTTTGAAATCCAGGCTGTTGGCCACAGATGTATGAGCTGTGGGCGGGTCTGTGGGCTTCCAGACGACGCTCCCGGAATTCATTCTGTCCTTACAGCAGCGAAGCAGTTAAGTTCAGTCATCTCCTAGGGAACCAGCAGTGACAGTCCACGTAAGAGTGCTGGGGACACCACCAATCTGCTGTCTAATAAGTAAATTGTGATGGCTACTGATGTTTCCTTTTTTTAAGTCAAATGTTTGCTACTATATTCAAATTTAATGCCAAGTAGCATGCTACAAATGTCTCCACACTGGAGAGAATTGATGCTTAAAAATGCATTTGTAAAACTGCTCCAGCAGCATATAGATATGAACAATAAATTTGATTCAAATATTTTTATGTGGGGGAAAAAAAAAAGGAAAACAACCCAGAGATGTCTGCCTTCTGAA